TGCAATTTTTCATCTCTCATCTGGCCAGATGGCTCCGCACCCGCCGCTTTAGCTACTTTTCGACCCTCCGGAGCCACAAATCATTGGAAAAACAAAGTGTTTCGCGACTTTCCTACATTTTCGCGCATCTCATCTGCAGCTTCTTTCTTCTGACTCTTTCTCTTCTCTGATCTTCTCTCTTCTACTCTTCTCTTCTCTCTGACTCTTCCCATCTCTGCTTTTCATCTGTCCATATTGTCGGAAGTTTGACTTCTAAACTTCCTTCGGTTATATCTATATGTGCGTGATATTTGCAACATCTTGGGATCTCTCGTGCGCAAAGTACGTGCAACATGTTGGCCTTCATCCAGGCCCGCCATGCGCAAGGTGCAAGCCAAAAAGTCTCTGCAAACAGATGCCTTGAAGCGACTTGCTCTCAGCGTTGTTGCTGCTGGCGTCATTGTTGTGGGTGCTTTTGTGTTGCTTTTCTTGTGCTACTGCCTACTGAAGAAGCCCGAATCCGTGAATCCGGGTAAGGAAGCAGGGGGTTGCGGGGTGCGGATCGGTAGCTTCAGGGCCAGTACGACTACTTCAAAATCTACCTCCAAACACGGAAAGAGCAAACGCTTTTGTTTCACGAGTGCTTGCTTGGATATACCTCAACGGGGCTTGTCCCGTGAGCTTCGGACGGCAATGAAGTGGCAGCCCGTCATGGTGGTGAGCAACCTGCTGATCTCACACATCTCCAATTTTGTTTGCTCACGACCCAGATTTAATACATGTGTCAGGCAGACTTCTCCTGCTTCACCATTTCTCTGAAGAATTCTCTGTCGGCGAGCCGACTGGGATTTCGGGTCACAAACAAGTCGCCAGATTTGATAAGAGGCTCATGTTTCCATGGCTTAGTAAGTCCATCAGAGACTCAGAGACACATTTGCCTGGTTAAGCCTTTCTTTAATAGCAAAAAGTTCAATTGCCGTTCTCTTCTCTTTCATGTGCAAACCTGACGTTTCAACTTTACAGACACAACCATAGATGTTACGAGCATCACAAACCAAACAAGATTCAGTTTGTTGAAGATAACAATCAATTTTACGAAGGTCCAGTTTTCCCGGGTTGATTAAGTCATAACATCCCAACTTTGCAAACTCATGAGTATGAAGAGCGTTTCCTGACATCTGGGCTTCAGCAGAAGTGGAGCTCCTAGCAATACGTTTCAACCGTTTGCTAGTCCAACACAGGACCGAAAAAGGGGACCTTTGACCACAAAGAATACCGTTTTGCACCAACAAGGTAATCTGACCTCCCTGACTACTCCCATCTTTCCGTGTTGCCCATGAATTTCTGTGAATGTACATGGCAAAGTCAAGCCTTGGTCAGATCTCTTGATTTGCAATCAAA